GTATGAAAGAGCAAAAGACACCAATCACTTGTGCAGCACATAAGGAGGTGTCAGTCGAGGGTAACTCCCATCAAAGTTCAGAAGAGGGAGGGTGTGGAATTTCGCCTGTATCCTGGTGGCCAGGGTAGTGCCAGCCATCTAGCCGGTGATCGATAAATGTTGAGAGAAGGAGTGTGATCAACACCGTGGCAGGGGCACTATTTTGAGCATGTTCGAGAGAGAGGAGGTGGCTACCATGCCAGTGGCAGAGTCACATTTAGGAGATTGTGAGAGAGGGGAGGTTGGAAGTTGAGGCCAAAATAGGGAAGCTCTTGAATCCAGGTTAATTCTCTGTGCTTCTCCCTGCCCCTCCCTTAGTCTCTTCTTTTTGCTTCTTCACCCCCTCTCCATCACAGCTATGTATATAGATCACTTTCTTCTTTGGAGCTCAGTTTTCCCTTCCACACAATGAGAAGAGGGCTCCATCCAGACTTTTAAGAATCCTCATGGCTCTAAAATCGTTGAAATAGTGACTTCTCTTTTTTTTATTTCATATTTTATATTTCGTAGAGACAGGGTCTCGCTGTGTCACCAAGCTGGGGCATAGTGGTGTGATCATAGCTCACTGCAGCCTTGAGCTCCTGGCCTCAAGTATTCCTCTTGCCTCAGTCTCACAAGTAGCTGGGACCAGAGGCACACACAAGCACATCCAGCTATTTATTTTTTAAATTTTTGGTAGAGTCAGTGTCTTGCCGTGTTGCTCAGGTTGGTCTCAAACTCCTGGGCTCAAGCAGTCCTCCTGCCTTGGCCTCTCAAAGTGCTGGGACTGCAGATGTGAGCCACTGCGCCTGGCTGACCACTTTTCTTTTAATTTAGTAGTGTAATAAAACTATTATTTAACGTGTCATATTTGTGGTGCACTTATTACGTGCCAGGCACTATGCAAAGCATTTGAAAACGCATCATCTCCTGACTCTCACAACAACCCCAAGAGGTAAGAACTATTATCAGCCCTCTTTGACAGAGGAGAAAAATGAGAGGCTAAGTGACTGAGCGGTTATATAGCTAGTAAGTGGCTGGGCTAGGATCCAAACTGTTGTCTAACTCCTAGAACACTATTAACCACTCCACTATTTAGCCTAGTACATAGTAGGTGCCCAATAAATGTTTCATTGACTTGAGACTCAGAACATGGCCAGAACAGTGTTAGGATTTGCCACAGAATGTGGCCACCCTGTCTGCATCTTTGGGGTGGCCAGGAAATAATTATTTTGCATTGAGGAACCAGTTGTGTTTGGTTCTCTGACATCCTGAGTTTGAACCCCTTTATAACTCTTGGTGACTTATTGGGGGGTGGAGTTTGGTTCATAGCAGGGAAGTATACTTACAGTATTCATAATTAGTGTTCACTGTCAGTCAGCCATGCTATTAAATGCTTTATAGTCATGATTTCTGTTCTTCCAGCCACCCTCTGAGGCAGGTATCACTTAGTGGCACCATTTTGCAGACGGGGCAGCTGAGGACTGGCTGTGTCACTCGTTCAAGGTCACACACAGACCATAAGTGGTGTAGCTGGAGTTGGGTGCCCACCTGTCTCTTGTCCTCCAGCTAGATACTCTTGTTATTGGAGAATGACTCAAATCTTCTGAATGACTGTAGCACAGGCAGAGAGGCTGGCCTGTCCTTACCCAGAGGATTCAGCAGGCACAAGTGAGTCCTGGGCTTCAGAAAGTGTTGGCAGTTGATCTTTAGGCCTTCTGAAGAGCCTGTGTTGCCCTGGCAGATCCAGTGTGATATAAAGAATGGTAGGCCGGGCGCAGTGGCTCACGCCTGTAATCCCAGCACTTTGGGAGGCTGAGGCGGGTGGATCACGAGGTCAGGAGATCGAGACCATCCTGGCTAACATGGTGAAACCCCGTCTGTACTAAAAAAATACAAAAAACTAGCTGGGCGTGGTGGCGGGTGCCTGTAGTCCCAGCTACTCGGGAGGCTGAGGCAGGAGAATGGCGTGAACCCGGGAGGCAAAGCTTGCAGTGAGCCAAGATTGCACCACTGCACTCCAGCCTGGGCGACAGAGCTAGACTCCATCTCAAAAAAAAAAAAAAAAAAAAAAGAATGGTAGGAGTAGGCTTAGACCTGGTAGGGACAGTTTAATGAGACTAGGACCTATTTGTGGAAGCGTGAGTTCCCTGTTCATATTTCTTTGTTTTCTTGTCTAGATTCTCTGGCTAAGGAGTCAGGGCGTCAGGAATTGGCAGCCTCTCTTCCAGGTACTCAGAGCACTTGGAAGTCAGTGCCCCTGTCTGAGCATATCACATAGTGGTTAAGAGCTCAGGTTCTGAAATCAAGCATTTTGGGATTTTGACATTTGAGCCTACCACTTACCAGTTTCCTCATTAGTAAAATGGAGATCACTGGGAGCCACCAACTCATGAGATGATGATGAGGGTGTAATGAGATGATGTCTCTGAAGTCCTTTGTGTAATTATTGGTCCATCATAAGTGGCTGGTTGAATGTCAACCACTGCTAACACCCAGTCCCCCCACCCTACGGTGTAACCTTGAGGGCAAGCATCCTAGCCATTATTTCATCTCTGGCATCTTGCCCACTGCCCACCACTTAGTGGGCATCCCACATTTGTTGGGGGAACAGATATTTCCTATGCATATTGATTATAATGAGTTATTTTCACATAAAGATGTGCAACTCATAGTACCCTCAGTAGGGGAACACCATGTTCTTTTTTATAGTGTTGGGGGTTGGGTATAATTTCTGTTCTAGTCTCCTTCCTAACCATTTGTGAAGAGCCAGCCCAGGTCAGGACTGGCAGGGATCAGAGGAGACATGGGCCAGCTCATCAGGCTTTGCTTAAATTTCCTCATTCTGTGATTCCATCAAAAAACACTGGAAGAAAGCCTGCCATGTTGAAGGTACCGTGCTCACCTGCTCACACCTCTGTTCTGAGTGCTATGCTTAGAACAGGCAGACACTGTGATTTAGTAACCTAGTTTCAGAGATGGGCTCTCTCCAGTACCTTCACGGAGTGTCCTTTAAGACTTGGGTTGTATTTGGTTGGGCAGGGAAATTGTCTAGTATTCTGGAGCCCCTGAGAACCTTACTCTAATCTGCCTTAAAACAGACCGATGGAGCTAGACAGCACTTTAGAGACTTATTTGCTACTGGATGATGAGCCTGGGACTTGGAAAGTGAACGTGACTCTTCGTGCTTACAGAGCTGGTTACTGGTGGGGCTGGCACAAGAGCCGAGGTGTGCTGTTCACATTCCGTTTCAGTTTATCCTCCTGCCTTTTGGCATTGGACTGAAGATAGTTCTAGGAATCTGCAGACTCACCAGGTGCTTCAGAAGAAACGAGAAATAATCACGATGATGATAGCTGCCATGTATTGAGCGTTCACTATGTTCTGGGCACAGTTTAAGTATTTGATATATTATTAATTCACTTAATCCTCATACAGAGAATCATATGAGTCTGGTACTGTTTTCTCATCCTTCAACTGAGGAAACCAAGGTACAGATAGGCTAAATAACTTCCCTAAGATCACACTGCTGGGAAGTGTTCAAGCTAGGATTTGAACCTAGGCAGTCTGGCTCAAGAGTCCGTGCCAGTGGACGGACCCTTTTTATTTTTTAACTTTTTATCATGGCAGTGTTCAAGCATAAACAAAAAAGCAATATAATGAACCCCAGTTTCAAGAATTACTGATGTTTTACCATTCCTTTTTCATTCCATCAGCACACCTGCCATCTGCCTTTTTTTTTTTTTTTGGCTGGAGTTAGAAGTCTGATTCTGAACCACTCTCTTGCCCTATGGGTGCCCAACCTGGTCTCCCTTGTTCTCCAGATGCTGTTGCTGTTGAATGGCCATAACATAAGCAGAGAGGCTGTCCTGTCCTGAAGCCAGAAAATTTACTGGGCAGAAGTGGGTCCAGGGCTTCAGAAAATGTTGGCAGTTCAGCTCTAGGGCCTCTGAAGAGCCTATGTTGTCCTGGTAGATCCAGGGGATAGTGAATTAGGAATTAGTTTTAAAGTGAATCCCTGGCTGACATTCTTAGTTTACCCAAAGCATTTTAGGATTTATTTGCAACTGATAAGGGTTCCTTTCCTTTCCTTCCCTTTCTATTCCTTTCCCTGTTTGTTTTAACAGAACACAGTATATCATACCTAACAAAGTTTACAGTATTTCTTGAATATCATCTGACACCCAGTCCAGAATCACAGTTCCTTGATTATTTCAAAAATGACTTTAAAAAATTTATTTATTTATTTTTAAATTTTTGTGTTGTTTTAGACACAGGACCTCACTCTGTTGCCCAGGCTGGACTTGAACTCCTGGGCTCAAGGCAACCTGTCACCTTAGCTTCCCAAGTAGCTGGGACTACAGGTGGACACCACCAGGCCCAGCTCAAAGATGTCTTTTTGACAGTTGGTTGGTTCAAATCAGGATCTATGTAAGATCCACACATTACACTTGATTGAAAATTTTCCTAAATTTATTTTGGCCTGTAAGTTTCCTGTCTTTCCTTCTTTTAAAATGCCACTTAGTTGTTGAAGATCCTGGTTCTGTGTCCTATAGAATTGTCCACATTGTGGGTTCGGCTGATTGCATCCTCATGACATGTCTCTCCTGCGTGATGGTTAGACCGAGGGACTTGATAGAGTCAGGTTCTTGTTTTCTGTCTTTTCCTTGTTTTTTTTGCAACAAAGTATTAAAAGTGGCACCATGTGCCACATCAGGCTAAAACCCAGGTTATTAATCATTGTGCTGTCCAGCCTGATTAGTCAGGCCTGGGTTATAAATCATCCCTGGAGCACTAGAAGGGGGCTCTAGGGTTGGTCCTCAAAACCATATGGACTATGTGTGGAAGGATGTTTCTCCAAAGGAAAATTGTGGTGCCATTCTGGAAAAAACAGGACCTGGAGGCTGGGCAGACAAAAAAAGTTCTATCATGTGAAACTCATCAGGTCTTCTCAGCAATTAACGTCTGGATTTTGATTACAGGTGCAGTCTTTGCAAGCCACATTTGGAACTTTTGAGTCCATCTTGAGAAGCTCCCAACATAAACAAGACCTCACAGAGAAAGCTGTGAAGCAAGGGGAGAGTGAGGTCAGCCGGATCAGTGAAGTGCTGCAGAAACTCCAGAATGAGATTCTCAAAGACCTCTCGGATGGGATCCATGTGGTGAAGGACGCCCGGGAGCGGGACTTCACATCCCTGGAGAACACCGTGGAGGAGCGACTGACGGAGCTCACCAAATCCATCAACGACAACATCGCCATCTTCACAGAAGTCCAGAAGAGGAGCCAGAAGGAGATCAACGACGTGAAGGTAAAGGTTGCCTCCCTGGAAGAATCCGAGGGGCACAAGCAGGATTTGAAAGCCTTGAAGGAAGCTGTGAAGGAGATACAGACCTCAGCCAAGTCCAGAGAGTGGGACATGGAGGCCCTGAGAAGCACCCTTCAGACTATGGAGTCCGACGTCTACACCGAGGTCCGCGAGCTGGTGAGCCTCAAGCAGGAGCAGCAGGCTTTCAAGGAGGCGGCCGACACGGAGCGGCTCGCCCTGCAGGCCCTCACGGAGAAGCTTCTCAGGTCCGAGGAGTCCGTCTCCCGCCTCCCGGAGGAGATCCGAAGACTGGAGGAAGAGCTCCGCCAGCTGAAGTCCGATTCCCACGGGCCGAAGGAAGATGGAGGCTTCAGACACTCGGAAGCCTTTGAGGCGCTCCAGCAAAAGAGTCAGGGACTGGACTCCAGGCTGCAGCACGTGGAGGACGGGGTGCTCTCCATGCAGGTGGCTTCTGCGCGCCAGACCGAGAGCCTGGAGTCCCTCCTATCCAAGAGCCAAGAGCATGAGCAGCGCCTGGCCGCCCTGCAGGGGCGCCTGGAAGGCCTGGGGTCCTCGGAGGCAGACCAGGATGGCCTGGCCAGCACGGTGCGGAGCCTGGGTGAGGCCCAGCTGGTGCTCTACGGCGACGTGGAGGAGCTGAAGAGGAGTGTGGGCGAGCTCCCCAGCACCGTGGAATCACTCCAGAAAGTGCAGGAGCAGGTGCACACGCTGCTCAGTCAGGACCAAGTCCAGGCCGCCCGTCTGCCTCCTCAGGACTTCCTGGACAGACTTTCTTCTTTAGACAACCTGAAAGCCTCAGTCAGCCAAGTGGAGGCAGACTTGAAAATGCTCAGGACTGCCGTGGACAGTTTGGTTGCATACTCCGTCAAAATAGAAAGCAACGAGAACAACCTGGAATCAGCCAAGGGTTTACTAGATGACCTGAGGAATGATCTGGATAGGTTGTTCGTGAAAGTGGAGAAGATTCACGAAAAGGTCTAAATGAATTGTGTGTGCAGGGTGCGGATTTAAAGTCCAATTTCTCATGACCAAAAAATGTGTGGTTTTCTCCCATGTGTCCCCCACCCCCCAATTTCTTGTCCCCTCTTGAAGAGCAGTTGTCACCACCTGAACACCAAGGCATTGTATTTTCGTGCCCAGTTAATTTATTGACAATGTTTTAAGTTCTCTGCTTCAGAGTTTGGTTAGTTTCCTGAAGCGCAGCCCCTGTGAATAACAGGTGGCTTTTCATGGATGTCTCTAGTCAGAGAAAAATGATAAAGGCTTCAATTGAGGATTAACAGAAGCAGATTAACCTCAGAAATCCTGTCTGGCTGGGAGATTTCAAGTAAAAAAAAAAAGGTGGTTTTGGGGGACACTTTTATTTCCAGTTGTCTTTAAGGAAAATTAATTTTACTTTTTTTTTTTTTTTTTGTACTTCTGGCCGAAATTTTTATGAGATATCTCTCACTTGTCTTCCACTTTGAACTGGTTAAAGCTCATAGCTGTCAGCTCTGAATGAGGAGGGGAGAAGCCCCTGGGTCTGTCTTTGAAAGGAATCCGCTACTTGAGGGCCGCCTTCCCCTGTGGTGTGTGGGTCATTTCTCTTCCTGACACATCTTATGATATCAGAGGTAACTATGCAAAGCATCCAGACGGTTCTGAATGTGAAGCACTACACCCAGCAGAGTGTCCTCTGTCCCCGCTGCCGTCCCGTGTTCTCTCTCGAGGTCACCAAGGAACACAGGTTTCGGCTCCCAGAAAGGGGAGTCTTTGGGTTCTTTCAAAAAACGCATTAGGAGAGCTGTCCACAGTGGAATGGGGGGTCTCCCTGGGGAATGTAGGCCAGGTCCTTTTATTTTAACATGATGTCCATGAAGAGGTTTGCTGCCTGGGCAGCCCTGTCTGTCGGCAAGGAGCGTGCATACTGTGTTTCTGTAATTGTTTGCTGTATCTCCCTTCCCTCTGAGCTGTATTGTTCTTTAATGGCTGTCTTGCCCTTCCAAAAAAAATTGAAAAAAAAAAAAAAAAAACCTGAAAAGTACAAAAAAAAAGGTTTTGTTTAGTTTACTGTGAAATGAACTGTATGGCTTATTTACAGTATTTTTAATTCTTAATAAACACTTGAGCTTTGTTATGACTTTTCCAGAGTGGTTGCATTCTGAGAATTTCGTAATTATGATGTGTTTTATTAGCATGTGGTAGAAACGATTAGCAAATAGGTAAGTTTACTATTTTAAAGCTGTTTTTTCTTTTAATTCTGAAACCAAGATGGCCTCACTCTTGGGCTGGGGGCCTGCTTTGATGGACTGTTAGCAAGTGTGTTCAATGATTACTTGTCTCCAGCTCTGTTGTCTTCAAGCATAGGACCTCAACCCTCACTACCTATTAGAATCTTCCTGGGAGCTTTAAAAAATGCCTGGGCCCTGCCCCAACAGATGCTGATTGAATAGGCATAAAGAGTCTGGCACTGGCATTTTTATTTTTTATTTTTATTTTTTTTTTTTGAGACAGAGTCTCGCTCTGTCGTCCAGGCTGGAGTGCAGTGGTGCGATCTCAGCTCACTGCAAGCTCTGCCTCCCAGGTTCTGGCCATTCTGCCTCAGCCTTCTGAGTAGCTGGGAATACAGGCACCCGCCACCATGCCCGGCTAATTTTTTTTTGTATTTTTGGTAGAGACGGGGTTTCACTGTGTTAACCAGGATGGTCTCAATCTCCTGACCTTGTGATCCGCCCACCTTGGCCTCCCAAAGTGCTGGGATTACAGGCGTAAGCCACTGCACCCAACCAGCACTGGTATTTTAAAGGTTCCCTCTCTGATTCTAATGTCCAGCCAGGGTTGAGAACCAGTGTCTCAGACCATCTGAGTAACCTTCAGCCCTAGTGCACACCTGGACATGTTTTCTTCCCTGGATTGCCTTCCACCCTCCACCCAATAAAAACCACATGCTGTTTATTGAGTACCTGTGTGCCAGGTCTTGTGCTCAGCATGCGTAATAACCTGTTATTCCTCCTTATAGTCCCCCGAGGTAGGCGGTATCATTTCCCATTTCACTGAGGGACAGCAGGCTGAGAAGCTTCATACAAGATCATTCATTAGGAAGTGGCAGGGCTAAGCTTTGTACCTCATCTTTGCTTTAACTGGGACAGCATCCTCTACCATCCACTGACACCAGTGGAGGTCCATTTGGCCTGTGGAACATCTGTCCTGTTCCAGAGCCCGAGGCTACAAGAGATTTCTTCTTTCCCACCTAGGGAGTAGAGGGTGGCTAGGACCTGAGGCCCTGTGGCTTGTCCCCCTTTCAGGCTGGAGGGCCCGTCATCTCTGAATTGCTGTCAGGCACTCTGGATCCCTCAAAGCTTCACAACTCAGAGCTGGAAGTTTTTCCCAAAGCAGTCAGCAAATCAGGACAGGCTCTATAAATCATTTCTAGTTTTATTTCAAAACCATTTTACTTTTTATTTTAAAGTCTTAAGTATTGACACGTATGCTTTAAATGGCTACTTTCACCCACTTGGGGAGGGTGCAGAACAGCGTAAAGTCGCATGCATGGAAAAAATCAAATTCATTTCCTTCTCAGGCCAATTGGTTGCATTGAGTGTGTTCTTGCTCTTTCTCCTGCCACCGTTTCTGTGGTTGCTAATCTCTGACTATGGAGTGGTTTAATAGATTCTCATTAATATTATAAAAGAAAACATTGACAAGTGTCTGATAAATATAAATCAAGTGGTGAAAATAAATAAAAGGAATATATTAGGAATTCACATATTTCTGGTGGTGGGGCAGTTAGAGTTCTTAAACCAAATAATGCAGCTCAGTCTTGTTCATTCATTCAATAGTGTTCATTCATTCAACAAACATTTATTGGGCTGATAGCCAGGCATTTTGCTAAGTATCAGTGAATTAAAATGTACAGGACTAGCCCAGTGGGGATGACAGTCACGTAAAATGGTAGGTATTATAAAGAAACATAGGTGCTATAGTTGGGTGTATTGGGCCAAGAGGAAGGAGTGGCCGGTTGTGCCATGGTTGGTCTAGAGGTGGTTAGAATGGGTTTTTGAAGGCGTAGGGGAAGTACCATGGAATGCTTTCATGCGTAATGGGAACCTTCAGGAAACAGGTGGTTCTGCCCTTTGAACAAATAATTTACACAAATTACTGAACATGTTGGTTGAATTGCAGATCCAGCACCAGGATAAGAGGCTGCAGTGAAACTTCTCAGGCAGGACTGACAGCACCCTGGTGAGGAGACTACTGTACCACTGACAGTGTGGCCTTGGGCAAGTCACTTAGAATGGTGATGGTGTTAATAGAGATGATGGTGGAGATGGAGATGATGGCGGTGGTGGTGATGAAGATGATGTGATGGTACAGGGTGGGTGTGAGGACTGAATGAGATAGCGTGTTGAGAGGGGTTAGCTTAGCACAGAATCTGGCACATCATGAGTGCATCAGTGATCATGCATGCACGGATCATACCAAAGGTTAAAATATTGAAATACTTTTGTCCTAGTTGGTGAATAGCTTCTGCCCTGAGTGCCCTGCATGTCCTCTCTCTGGACCACTATACCTCTTTACAACCCAGCATCTAATAGGTTAATATTCTAGTATAGCAGAGACCACGAGACTCTGCTCCAGCCCCAGGGCCTGCATTTGTTCTGTTGGGTGGGTGCCCACACTTTACCAGTGATAACATTTTTGAAATTATCCTTCCTTGTGAGCTCAAAAATTGGTGTGTGTGTATGATTTGTTTTAAAGAAGTGTCTACATAAAGAGGTGGTAAAACTTGAACCCAGTTCTAAAAATAAGGGTTGTCAGGTACCAAGCAAAAGGTACTGGGTTTGAAGTGGTCAGGAGAGTTGAGAGGCTGAGCACAGTTCTTGCTGTTGGAATAGAGGAAGCAGAGGTGGGCAGTGGGGTGGAGATGGGGTCAGAGGGCTGATGGCGCCAGGACCTGGAGGCCTTGCATGTCATCCCGGAGACTTTGGATCTGAACTATGAGGAATAAACAAAAGGGTTTAAGTGGGGCGGGGGAAGTAACCATGGTCAGAACTGGGTTTTAGAGTGCCCCTGCATTGGCAGGATTGGAGGAGAGCAAGAGGAGGGCAGGTGGACATTGGGAAGTTGTGGTCCAGGCTGGGTCCGATGTGCCCTGAGGATGAGGGTTGCAGATGGATGTCAGAGACGTGCCAGGTTAGATGCTGCTGAATGCCTGTGGGGTGAGGAAGGGAGAAGCCTCCAAGACAATGGCCCTCCCAGATTGGGAGAGGATATAAGAAGGTGACTTGTGCTCATGTGGCCTGTACAGACAGAGCCCATGGGCTGGCCAGGTCTGGAGCTCGGTTGAGAGGCCTGCTTTCAGGATTACTCATCCATACTTACTATTAAATTAAGGAAGTGGATGAGATTGCTTAGATAACTTAAAGGAGATGTGAAGGAAAGGAACCCATGAAAGAATGATCAGAGAGGGAGGAGGAAAACGAATAGGGAGTAATGGTAAGGAAAGGAAAGGCCCAGGAGACCAGTGGCTTGAGTAGTTCACCACACCTCATTAGGTCACAATTCTGCACGCTGAAATTCCCCTAATTCAATTACTCACTTAATTTCTGTTTCCTGATGGGACCCTAACTCATACAGAAGGCCTCCAATGGGTGAGACATTTTTTGATAAAGAAAATGTGCTGTCCTTCATGGTTTCCAGCAATGCCCATGCCTTACTTCTGAGACTGACATAGTGCCCAGCTTTCAGCAGACGCCTAAGAAGTTGTGATTGAGATGGCATTGCAGAGTCAACCCCTTGAAGACATCATTTCGTCCGGATACCACCACTGCAGTGAAGGTAGCTACCTCTATTTAGGCTGTGTAGCTTGATCTTAGTCTTTCTTCAGATGTCTGGATCATGTCCTGTTACGGCCAATCTGTGATGTCAGGCAAGTACATCTTTTAATTTCTCTGTATCTCATGTTCCTCATCTGCAAAATGATGGCATTGGGCCAGACTAGTGACTCTCGCATTGTAACACGTATCAGAGTCACCTTGAAACCTTGTGAAAATACCGGGCTGGGCGCGGTGGCTCATGCCTGTAATCCCAGCACTTTGGGAGGCGGAGGTGGGTAGATCACGAGGTCAGGAGATCGAGACCATCCTGTCTAACAAAAAAAAAAAAAAAAAAAAATACAAAAAATTGGCTGGGCATGGGGACACGTGCCTGTATTCCCAGCTATTTGGGAGACTGAGGCAAGGGAATTGCTTGAACCCAGGAGGCAGAGGTTGCATTGAGCCAAGATCATACCACTGCACTCCAGCCTGGGCAACAGAGCAAGACTCCATCTCCAAAAAAAAAAAAAAAAAAAAAAAAAAAAACCCCCGCAAAAAAAAAAACCCCAAAACCAAAACAAAACACTGATTGCAGGTCCCAGAATTTCCAAGTCAGGAGGTTTGGGGAGGGACCCAAGAATTTGCATCTGTAACAAGCTCCAGGTAATTCTGATGCCGCTGGTCAGGGGGTTACACTTTGAGGACCACTAGGCTAGAATTAAGAGAGTAAGACTAAAATTCTGTGGTGCCAGGTGTATTTATTTCTACCTAGAAGGAAAAAATGAAGCTATAGCCTAAAAAGAAATATCAAAAGCCGGAAGCTATAGCCTAAAAAGAAATATAAAAAGTATATTTATGAGTGCCATCTCAATTTTTTTTTATAACAAGGATGGGCGTGAATGAATGCATTAAATCACTTTTTATTTCAACATTGATGCCAAAACGATGCAGGCATTTTCTAGACTTTTATATGCATTCACGTAATTTGCCACCTAGATAATAATAATTCCTAAATCCCTCTGCCTAGTTCAGACCATACCTCTGAGCTACTCATCTGTTTTTCCAGTAACATCTGGACACCTTGCTGCACCCCCCACACCCCCAGAAATCTCACTGGGATCCAAACTGAAGTCGTTTCCCCTCAAAGTAAATGGTGCAGCTGACCCCTTCCCTGCTTAAGTCAGAAGCTCAGGAGTCACCCGTTGTTTCTCTGTTTCTCCCCTTTCCCCTCCCTCCACATCTCCTAGGGTTGAAGCCTTGACACATCCACCTCTGTCCCCTCCTCCCAGCCTTTTGGGTTCCAGCAGCAGCCTCTCCCCACGGT